TAAGGAAAAGACTAAAAGAAGACAAGATGAGAAAAGAATGCTAAAAGAATCACCTGATATATGAGAGATTAAAACACTCCTAGGGAAAAATTCAGTGGCTGATAGTTGTCTGGCATCACCAACAAAAGTGGCACCCAACACAACAAGGAATAAGACACCAACTCTGGCATCCATTATGCCTGAAGTCACAACCCTCCGATGTTAGTACAATAACCACATAATGGTAAATTTATGAATAGTATGATCAGATTCAGGTAGATAATTTGAAACAAGTTAGAAAGACAATTACAGAAATGAAACACAAATAATTAATTCTGACTTATAAAATGGGTTAGGATGGAAATCTTCATAAAACGGAAAAAGACAAAGAAATTGCAAAAGCAAAAACTCCAATCCACCTTATAATCACATTCTGAATTTGAGTTGAACTGATAGCCATCATTTTAATGCATTCAAATCCCTCTTTTTTTTTTCTTTGGCTCCAAAAAAATCCCTTTTTTCAACTCAACAATTCAGATAGTTCACAATGCTCATGATTTTAAATCAAAACTAGACAAATGCAAAATGGTGTTTGTGCATCCACTGTTGATACTGGTTCCATGAGATACAACGGAGCTCTTTCTCCAAGAGGGATGGTTTAAACACTAAAGCATGCCTATTAAGCATAAAGGACTTGGACAAACCAGCAAAATCATGGCAACTACATGTTAATTAAATAACATGACTTTCACTTTGCTTAATATATCCATGACATTGACTACTCGATGTCGGCCTTGACTATCAGATAAGCAAATTAACTACATCAGGTGCTTACTTCAATCTTATCGTCAAGGAGAAAACTATAGGAAAGGAGCTGAAACTATGAAGTAGGAATCCAACTAAAACCATGCTTCAAATCCACTATCAATAGTACAAAAGCAGGTATAAATATTTGGCTAAATTCATAATTCTACAACTTTTAAGAATTAAACCATACCCATGACACAAAATAAAACAAGAATAAAAATAAAATCCATGGCGTTAAAAACACATCATACAACAAAAGGAGATGAAAAAAAAAAAGAAAAAAAAACCCATCAAATATATCACCAAAGAAAGTCGATTAAATAGCAGAACATGTGGATAACCAACCAAAGCAATCAGTTCTAAGACACAGATAGTAGCATAGGAAACAGAAGAACCTTAGGACAATCGAGGGTCAACAAAAACTGAGAAAGATTACAGCTTTCTTTCTCTTCTCACCAACTAAACAAGAATATATTACTACGATTGGATAAAGGGATTACCTTTACAATAGATTCGACGGTGGTTTTTGGGTTGTGTCGGAGAGGAGGGTGAGAGAAAGAAAGAGAAGGTAACTAGTTCCGTTGAGTGTTGGGGTCGGCTAATGGCGTTGAATGATGGTTGGATGGATACTGGATAGCTTATGCCTGCCGCGTTTTTAAAGTCATCCGTTGAGGATCTGCTAATCCGTACCCGTGGGCATGTTCCGCTTTCTTCTAAATGGCACGTGGCAGAATAAGAGATTTATCTGGGGGATTAAACGAATTATTAATTATAATTAACACAGTGGCGTATCCAACAATTGTGGGGTGCAAAATTGAAGGTTGGCGATGGGAAATCACACGTAACGTAAGGGTATTTGCACAATTTTTATTTAGATCTTTCACGTATAAATAAAGAAGAGATAAAAGGCATATATGTCTTAGTATTATTATTATTTTTATTTTGATTGCATAATAAAAAGTAATTAATTTTTATTTTTTATCTTATCTTATTTGTATATTATGTGGTTTGAATTTAAAGTTTTTTATTTTCAGTAAAGTAAAGTAAGATGACTGTTGAATTATTTAGGTTATTAACGACATATATGTGTTATTATCAAAATATTATAATCATAATATTATGTGGTATTTTAAATTTATAATATAATTTATTATTTTATAATTAATATTTATTTAAAATTTATTTATAATATTATATATATTACCTTATTTAATATTATATAAAATTATAATTTTATAATTTTATGTAATATTATATATATAGTATTGTTGATAATATTGTGAGTTTTATTATGGTAAAAAAGTTAATATTAAATAATAATTAAGGTTATATAAAAAATTACCCAATAAAAGTTGACTCTAAATTATTTTTCTATGTTTATAATCATGACTTGTCAGAGGATTTACTTATTTCATTTGGTACATACATTAAACCTAATTAAATAAAAATTATATATATCTATTCATTTAAATGTATTATGATAATAAATTTATAAATTTATATAGTATTATAATTATATCATTATTGATATGAAAATGTGAATTTTTAGTTTTGACTAGTAAAATTTTTTTAATTAGATTAAAATAATTATTATATCCTATTTATTATAAGCATTTCTTTAATGATAATTTCATATCTCTAATTTTTACCTAGCAATGACTAAAAGCATACCAAAATGGTACTTCAAAATATAATTCAAATAACTATTATTGAAACAAAAAATAACCAAGTGATCAAGGAAATAATCTATAAATTATAATTCAAATATTTTATTATATATTTTTCATCTTCCTCATCTTTCTCACCTACTTAAAAGTAGTATCTAATGAATAAATAAATAATAAAATGACTAAAATTATGTGAAATAAAAAATTTAAGAACAAAAATGGTATAGGAATAAAAGTTAATTATTGCAAACAAAAAAATAAATTGTTGATCAAAATAAAATTAATAAAAAGTGAAACGCTTATATATCAACATCACAAGTTGAGGGGAGGAAGTGTTTCGAGTAAAGAGATAAGAATACCAACTTTTGTTGTTTAATCTATTTAAGGATATAAATATTTTAGTTTTTAAATTAGTCTACATCAATCATTTTTTTCTAAATAAAGTTATGAATTATATGTGTTTTCCTTTTTAAAATTTAGTGTGTCCATAAACCACGTCATCACCACCATATATTCACTAAATACTTAAATAAGAAAAAAAATAAATGCAAAATTTATATCTTAATTTAGAAAAAATTTAAAGTTGACAATCTTAATAAGAAATAGAAAAAAATTTGTATATGTAAATAAAAAATATCAGAGGTTATATCTTTATATACACTTCTACTCCATGCCCGTCCGGGACCCTGGCTCCACCATGGAATTAACATGTTTGAAGGCCCAAAAAAAAAAGGAAAAAAAAAGGGATACCTGCTGAATGGTTTTTACTCGAATCAAATCATCAAACACATTTGGTGAAGTCCATGTTAAGGGACTAAAAAAAGTACTTAATTAATTCATGGTTAAAAAGAATACAGAGTTTAAAGTTCAAATAACAAAATTAACATTTAACCATTCTCTTATAGAAAAATGATAAATAATGAATGACAAGAAAACAACCAGGGAAATTTCTCATGAAAATAAAATGAACGTCTACATTAGACAGAAAGGGCATCATTAGTGCTTCAGTAAGATCACTGCATTACTCCAGGTTTAGACTTGGTTTCTTCTTTTTCTTGCTTTGCTTTGCTAGAAGCAGTGAAAACCTGGCAAATCCGAACTTCTTCCTCTTCCCAGAGAACTGTTTGTCAACACTTTCAATCTTTTGGGAAGAACAGAAACCATTATATTGTTTACTGAGCATTTGAGCCAAGGAGACCTTTCGCTTCATCATGGTATCCTTTTTCGCAATCTTCTGTGTCTCAAATTCACCTGCTGGAGGAAGCAGTTTACGGCTCAGTATTTGCCCTATTGATAAGGTTGGCTCTAAAACATCTGTTACAATATTGTTAATCACATTCAGTCCATTCACATCGATGACACAGGGTTCTTTCCATTGATGAGAGGGGTAAGGATTCTTGAACTTGGTAGAGTTCTGAACAGAGCGTCTCTTGTGACCATGTTCAGATCTCCATTTGCAAAGAGCCTCTTCAACTTCCAGCTTGCCTTGATTTGCAGCCTCTACTTGGTTCAGTGCTTCTTCCAATGCCTTCTTACTAATTTTGATTTCTTCTGTAGCTTCCTTGACCTTCTTTAGAATTTCCATTTTGGAAACATTTGCTTCATCAACTTCGTGGATAACATCGTTCACTTTCTTCTTAGAAAGTTCCTCAGCCTCTTGAGCCTTGCAGATTAATGAGGAGTACTCTTCAAATGAAAGAGTCACTCCTTGAGGTCTCTTTGGGGGAATTTCAGATGAGCTCATCTCAGTGCTTTGAAGAGACTCGATCTCAGCAAAAGCCACAGCTTCGGCCGCTCTAGCTGCCTCCTTCATTTTTCTGGCTGCCAGCAATCTCATCTCCGCAGTTTTTATCTTACCTTTTGTCTGTTCAATCTCATAAATTGCCCTTGAGACTTCTGTTCTTGCTGCTTCTGCCATCTTCTTGAATTGCTTGGCCTCAAAACTCAACCGTTGAAGCTCCCTTGAAATTTCCATTGGATTATCAGAGCTGCCTTTATTTTCAGCATCTTTAGCCACTTGCATCTTCAGTTTTGTTTGGTTTAGCTCTTCTTCAAGAGATGATACCTTCGAGGAATTTAGAGTTAACCTCTCTCGAGTCTTCTCGAGAGAATGTCTCTCTTTCTCCAATTTATTGTTTAATGAATCAACAGAAGCTCGAATTTCAGCAAGATCATTTGTTTTCCTGGAAAGATTGAACTTAGCCTGCTTCAGTTCCATCAAGATTAGTCCTGGAGCTGGGCAGGAACTCAAACCACCCACTGAGTTTGCATGACAACCTTCCAGCTTTTCTGCTTCTTTCACCACAGATATCTCATTCTTGTCTTCTATTTTCATTTCAATAGTCGACTTGACTTCAGATGTTTCTTTCTGCAGTTTAAATTTTAGTTCTTCTACCATTGTTTTCGTTGATTCAAGCTCCTTCAGAACATCAAGCGTTTCCTTTTCCTTGACAATCAGATCTTTCTCCACCTCCTCTGCTTGCTGCTCTAATTTTTCAATGTCAACTTCTACCACATGCTCCTAATACCAAAAGCTTATCAGCACATAATCCAGAGACAAGTAAACATAAAATGACTATGAATATGCACCATATTCCGTATATAAACTGATATTATACGTACAAATGGAGGACATATATTCCCTTTACCATGCTTCTGGGGCATAGAAGGAACATAAATAAGACCATGATAACATAGACAACAATGGATACAGTCTATCATGTGCGAAATGGAAAGCTAGCAAAACACTATCATTACACGGAAATGAAGTGCAGAGAGAGCAAAATACTTCTCTACGAGCCTTAATTGACAACTGTTATGCACAAAACCTTCAAAAGCATTTTCTTTTACAGCATAATCAACATTCCATGCTTAATAGCATATCGAAACTCAAAATTGAACTTAATTCCCAAGCCACATTTGAAATCATAGGCAATTATCTTCAAGTATTTGGCAGAAAAATACACAAAAGAAGAAGCCCTTGTATGGTTTAAACTTAAAAACAAAATTTTCCACCTACAGCCAACAATTTCTAACCCAAATGAATTTCTCGGTTCTAAGTATTTTCCAATGACAATTTAAAACAAATATCAATAGATATAGACTCTAAAACACGAAAAGCTGCGACATTTACTTCCAAATGAAATAAAAAGTTAAGCAAAAAGAAGTAGGCAATGTATTTTGCATAAATTAATCACAACCTCAGTTTCAGAGAACTTGGATTGCGAGGGTTTCCAGTAACCCATTTCCCCGAATCGACTCACGGCCTCCTTCACAGACTCGAACGGCGCCGACGTATCAACCTCAAATTTGGACCTGCTCTCCTTCATCACCTCCTCACCACTCCCCGAACTCAACTTGGAGCCCGAATCGAGCTCCATTTGAACTGTCTGTTCGAGGATTTCAGCCATATGAAAATACCAGCAACAAGAATCCCCAGATGTTAGTGCGATGATGATGCTTGGAGGTTTTCTCGGGAAACAAACAATTAGAGACGATGATCGGAAGTAATGGACCGCAGTGGAGGAATGCGAAGGGAAATAAAAGCGAGGCAATGAATGAGTACGTCTGAGTTTGCTTTTTTCGGATTGTCAAAATTGTCCCAGAAAATTTCTAAAATTTTCAGGGTTAAATGCAGTGGATGAGGAAAAGTGGTGCACTTATATGTTACCCCTGGAGGGAAATTTGAGGCTTTAGGAGTTAGGAAAGGCAAATCAAATCAAAGTGTGGTGGGCCCATCGTTAGAGGAGTTTCAACGGCTATTGAAGTCTAACGGGCTTGTAAAAAAAAAGGAAATATGAAAACATAAATATGTTGTAAAGTTCGAACGGTATTAAATTACACATAATAATAGGAGCAGGATTTTTTTTTTTTTTTAAATTGAGGCTATGCTTTTTGGTTTATGATTAAAATGTTTTCAGAGTTAGTTTTTGTATATTTTGAGATTAATATTTTTTAATAATTTTAAAAATATATTTTTATATTAATTTAGTATATTTAAAAAAATTAATTTTTTAAATATTTATTGTAAGATTTAAATTTTAAATTTAATATATAAGATAGTATTTATTTATTAATAAATTTAATTTTTAAAATAGATTATTCTTTATTTAATAATTTTTTATTCACAGTTAAGATTCATATGAAAATAGATTAATATTTTTGTTAGAGCAGAAGCTGCTGATTTCTACATCCAATATCTAGCAACCATTCTTAAAATTTAAAGAACTACCATGTTAAAGTAAGCCTTCATTTGATAATATTTTTTAGTATTTTAATTTTTAATTTTTATATTTTTTATTATTTTAAAAATATATTAAATATTAGTTAAAATAAATATTAAATATATAAATATATTTAATATAATTTTAAGAAGTTAAAGAACTTTAAAAACTTACAGTTACAAACTATAGCTACAGCTCAATACCATCAAGCTTAAAACTATCAAAATATGCCAAAATCTTTTCTTGCAACGGATATATTATGTTAGACGTTTTCATATGGTATTCTAACTAATAACAAAAGACGACACCTTTTTACATGTAAAGACATATTAGCGCTAATCTAAGAATTAGATTTATTTGTAAGTAATTATCATTTTAAAAATTAGATTTAGAGTTGAAATTTTAAGGTTAGCACTTAAAAAAATTATTTTTTTAAATGTATTAAACTAATGTAAAGATACACCTTTAAAATCGTTTAAGAAAAAATTAATCTTGAAAATACTTTAACTATAAAAGTAGAATACTCAAATCTACTCCTAAAGTATAGCAATAGGGATGGATCCATCCTGAACAAAAAAAAGGAGACAAATCCACCTACAAAGTTTTTGATTTGGACGAATCACTTTAAATTTAACATGTAACGTTATCTGACATCAGCAATATGTTAATTTAATGTCATCCGACCTCAGCAATCCGACATCAGCAAATTAATGGATTGCTGATATTAGATGATGTCACACGTTTAATTTGAGGTAATTTATCCAAGTCAAAAACTTTATAGGTGGATTTGTCCTCTTTTTTGTTCGAGGGTAGATCTGTCCCTACCACTATATTTTGAGGGTGAATTTGGATATTTTGTCAATTATAAATAAAAATAAAAACAAAAATAAAAAAGAATTTTTCTAAGGCATAAGTCAAGAGTCTTAAAAAAATAAATATTCACATTTAATTTATCATTCTTCCAATCAAATTTATCCAAGTAGTAATAATTCTGAAGTTAATATCAATTTTTACATTTTTCTATACATATTTATGGTAAAAAAATACTTTTAACTTGTGCTTAAAGACATAAATTAGAAAAATCCATTAAAAAAAAAAAACATATTAACTCAAACTCTCTGCTGTCATATGAGAAACCTATAACAGAACATAGGATTACCTCTATACATATATAGCACGAGATCACATCTAACGTCAAAGAATTTTTCCTTCGTGATCTAACTTTCTTTTCTTTCGATTTTTGTTTTTTAATCTTTTGTGGGTAAACTTGTGACCTAACTTTCACTATTGCATTTTCCCTTTACCAAAGAGAGAAGAACATCATAACTTGACCGTTGGTTGAAAGCTAAAGTATAAAGAAGGTTTAATCCAATGTTCATGGTGCACGTTCAAGGTGAAGCTTTTTGAATTTGAAGCAAGTTAGAAAGAGTTTTGAATCGGGCTGGTGGCCGTAAGGAATCCCATCATTAGATGTGCATGTACCAAAAAGAAAGAACTTTCATTTAATAGCTGAGAGACCCAGTTCTATTTTATTGGGCCAATACAAATGAACTCAAATTTATTAAACTTTTGGGCCCTAAATAAAGTTCTTTTAATAAAAACTTTCTTTTGGGCCGCTGGCTCCTGGTCATAATAAAGTTTCATTTCTTCGTCTTCATTATTAATTTTTTTTTTTTTTTGGTTTGGGAATACAGGGTATTGTTTTACAGTGGGGACTATACCGAATTATAGAACAAAGGTTATTAGATGGGAGTGGGACTCTCCATATTTATAGTTATGATTGTATAATCTAAATTGTATTAGATTACACAATATTTTTTCTATGAGAATATGGTTAAGTTTCAATTGTTTTTCATTTTTTTCTTTTTCTTTTTTCCTTTAGTGGCTAAATGGATGGTTCTCCATTGGCATTCTTCGTTTGCATGTTTCTTTTATATTTATATATAGTGACATGCAATGAAATTATATACACACATCCTTACAATAAAATTTTACAATTTCATTTTTTTTTTACATCCTCCATACTTATATGTATGATTAATAGTATAATATAGATTACTCTGTAACCAAACTATATAGGATAGTTGATGTTTCACAATTTCATGTAGGAAAATAATTTATATACTTTTTGGTTCAACACCTTATTCAATAT